GTGTCGGCGCCGCCGTCATTATTTTGTAAACTGCGAATGTAATGGGCGAGCAGTGAACAAACAACTGACCGACGTCACTTCAACCCCACCACCGAGTGATATATAAAGCAGCGCAAGCGCAAGCTCGAGTCAGTCGTTCGTCGATCGTTGCCCAGTTCACACGTTACGCAATCGCTGAGTAATTTTATTGTTGGTTTTATTTGAGTGTTTCCTTTATATAATCAGTGCTGAATTATTCAATTATTATAATTAAAAATTAATGTGAAAGTAAGTTCATTTAATCGAAATAAACTAAGTGATTGTGTGAAGCTCTTTGTTTTATTTTCAAATAAAGTCGGACCCTGATCCTACATACATTATTTTTTATTTTTTTTACAATGGAAGAGTTTATATCGTACCACAACACCAAGTTGTAAACTTTACGCTGCCGCTGTAAGTTTGTAAATGGCCAGCTAATTTGTTGCTAACCCAGTGTGGTTTTAGAGGTAAAGTTCTGTTGCACAGTTAGTATACACTGCAGAAGGTTAAAATTTGCTTCTAGCAATTTACTAGCAGTGCTGCCAGCCTTCTGGGTACTTTTCCTGTTGACGTCGATGCGGACGAATTGTTTGATGCTCTCTGTAAATAGTAGGTTTTAGTTATCTTTTATTTAATTTTCTACATTACTTTTAGTTGATTTTAAGTTGTAAATATCTATTTATTTTTATATATCATGTATATGTACCTACTAACGATAAAAAAATATGAATTGGAAACGATAACAAATAAAAAAGAAGAAATCGTTGCTGTAAAATTCAGAAGTAATTTACTAATATGTATGTAGAATAGTTTCACTAAAAATTACGAATTTAAAGGACAAACACAGTGACACGAACTTGAAAGATTGTTTTTTTTTATATAATCAACGGCCCAGTGCCTTTAGCCAAACGTCACTTTAGCGCTTGTCTACCGAGAGAGTAGAAAACTAAATGTATGGGGATGACACTGACAAGTGTCAAAATTTACGTCAATCCCATATAATTTAGTTTTCTACTCTACAAATAGACAAGCGCTAAATGGCATTTGGCTACAGCTGAAGGATTTATATCTGAAATTCATATAATACGTTTACTATCACTATGGACAAATAACCAGCCAACAGATCATGTAGTAGTATTCCCAACCATACTCAAAACAATGAACCTTCTGCTCCAAACTGCTGGGTACACTAATTGAAGAGCATTTCCGCGATATATCCTCCATTACCATCCCCGGTCCGGCATTTTGTATTGTTTTTTCAACTCGTTTACACTGCGATCGAGTAGAATGGACTACATTCAAGAATGTACCTTAATATCCTGGCTGATCGACTGTTTAACTGGGGAAAATGACTTCAAAAAGTGCTTCATTTTTCATTCCATCGCGTTTGCGAACTCTGCTCGATTTCTATCGGTTTTTGCTTAGTTGTCGAAGTGGGACGAGATTTGTTGGTGATAGGAACCAGTTAAAGTTGATTCGATGAGATTGGTGATGTTTAGTAGTTGCTTTTTTAAATTTAAAATTAGTATTTCGAAGTAGTGCCTTCGTTGATAGGTACTCTAAGTGACTTGTCGATTTTGGAGCTATGGAAAACTTAACAGGTTATCGGGGTTTTAGATCGAAAGGCGTAGGAACGGGGTGGTTTTTAGTCAGTAAGAGACATTCCCTTTCGCATCACCCAAAGTGGGAGAAGTCACTGGATTAACCCATTAAAAAAAAAAGTGATTCGTCGATTGAATGGTCAACCATGACTGCCAAGGTCTCCGATTCGATTCCAGTATTGAGTAGATTATGATTTGGATCTTTTCGTTTTTTTCATTTAGGTATTCCACGGAGGCACGGAGTATGAAAATTTGCTCATTCTGTGGTATTAAACTTATCTCCTATTACACGGAGATCATAACATAACCAGTAAAAAGTGTGAAATGAAACGGTATTTATTCCTGTAAACAGCAACTGTAGCCAAATGCCATTTAGAGCTTGTCTACATGTAGAATAGAAAACTAAATTGTATGGAATTGACGTAAATTTTGACACTTGTCAGTGTCATCCCCATACATTTAGGTTTCTACTCTCTCTGTAGACAAGCGCTAAATGGCATTTGGCTACAGCTGCTGGTTACAAAGTAACACTTTTACACTTCAATCTTTAAATTACTAGATAAGGGCCGATATTACCTAGTTCCTAACTGACTACCTACTCTGCGAAGAAACGCCGCATCAAACTTAAACTGTGTGTGTTAAAATGTATAATTATATGCATCTTGGTTTATGCCTTCGGAGATTTGATGTTCTTTAAATAGCAAATAGCTTCACTAGAGGACTGACCTCGAGCGTACGGCGCGTCGCGTTCCGCGCGCGCCTCAAAGAGCCATCAGACCACCACAGCTTGGGCCCAATAGGGCCGATGCCGATTCGGAGTCGCGGAGAACTTAACGGGTAACCGGGGCTCCGGCTCGACGTGCAGGAGAAGGAACGGGGTGGTTTTTAGTCAGTAAGAGTCTGACACTCCCTTCCGCCTCACACAGGCGGGAGCAGTCATTCGATGATATTCCCCCCTAAAAAAAAGAGGACTGACCTACAGACTGTCATTTTTTTTATTATTTAATATTTAAATATTTTGTTTGGACGTTCCTGGTCTAATCGAAATAAATGATAAACGAAGTGCCTTCCTGGTCTAATTGAAATAAATGATTTTGACTTTTGACTTTGACCTTATCCTGAACCTAGAACACCTTGCTCACTAGTAGCACTTGTGACTACTCAACCGATGAGGCAGTACGATATAATCCCATAGTCATAAATCCTTTCGATTATAGGAAATTGGTTCCAATCAATGTTTATTAGTTTTTAATTCGTTGCTATTTGAGATATGGCAATGACAAGATGTGTTTTTTTAATTACTATTATAACTTTTGCAAGTTTTATCCTCCAAATATTTGCAACGAAGTTTCCCGAATTTTTCAACGAAGAAGATTTAAGGGTATAACATTTTTTTAATGTTTGAAAATCATGGAATGACTGCTTCCGCCTGGGTGAGGCGGGAAGGAGTGTCAGACTCTTACTGACTAAAAACCACCCATTAAGTTCTCCGCGGCTTCGTATCGGCATCAGCTCTACTGGGCTGTTATCTGTGGTGGTCTGATGGCTCTTTGAGGCGCGCGGAACGCGACCTCCGACCGACGACCTCCGGCCGGAGGTCGTCCCGTGATCCTCGACGCCTGTATTAAAGGAATAATGGGGTTTTATCTCCGTATGTTTGATACGCTTTGAACGGACATCATGTAGGAGTAACACATACAGACTACAACATAGAAACTCAGCCACCAGCGATTTGTTCTTTTTACTTTCTTGATCAGTATTTTCTAATACAAGCATTTTATTAATTGGTAATGAATGTCGCATAAAAGGCAATTCAGTTACCTATAAACGTTTTTTTTTTTTGTAAAAGGTATAGACACCTACTTATTTTAAATAATATAGAATGTTCGATGAAATAAAAAAATAAAACGTTGGTGGCACCATTTCTTTGCTCCTACCTGTACTTACAATTTAATTGTCATTAACAGGATCAATTTTATTAATTTTATCTTAAGATCTTTGTCTATCTTATCTTAAAATCTAAGTTCTAAGTAACATGTTTTAAGTGTGGGAGAACCATGCATCGGCATGCAATGGGCCGGCTCGACCGAAGTGATACCACACCCTTACAGAAAACCGACGTGAATTAACGCTTGTTGTGTTTCATCGTGTGAGTGAGGTTACCGGAGGCCCAATTACCTCCCTCCCTAGTCTCCCGAATCCCCGTATCCTCCACAATCCACAAATTCCGAATTCCCAAAAGGCCGGTAACGCACTTGTAACGCCTTGGTGTTTCGGGTGTCCATGGACGACGCTGATTGCTTTTCCATCAGATGATCCGTCAGCTCGTTTATCGGCTTATGCTATAAAAAAAATATAGCGCTCTTTTCTTATTTTTAGAGTATGGGAGTGAAAAATCCAGAGAAGAAAGTGTTCCATCCACCTTCAGTTAAAAGAGAGGTAAGAATGTAGAAAACACTCTTAATTATAAATTACGTTTACAAGAATCGACTTCAACCCCTTCTTTTTTGAAGTCGGTTAATTAATATGGTAGAAGTGCCCGACCCGGGAATCGAACCCGAGACCCCTTGCCCGGCAGTCGCACTTGCGACCACTCGGCTCACTTGCGACTGCCGGGCTAATAGTGAAAAGTGGATGTTACTTCTGTGGGCACCTCTGCCTACCCCTTCGGGGATAAAAGGCGTGATATTATGTATGTCAAATAACTTAAATATGAATAAATATATACAACTTAAAATACAATTAATTACTAAAAACTAAAATATTTAGACCTTAAAAAAATAATAAAAATGTCATCTATATTATACAATAATTATAATGATTGTTTTTACATTTCATTTCAGCCTGATTCCCCCCCACCAGGATACGAATCGGTTGAATCAAATGAAATGAACAAAAATCGTAAACCTCCAAATGGATTGCCAATTGTAAGTAATTATAGCAACAAAACTACGAAATAAAAAATCGCAAACGTGGATCGGGTTTGATTCCCGCACGGAGCAACTCTTTGTGTGATCCACAAATTGTTGTTCCGGGTCTGGGTGTCATGTGTATGTGAACTTGTATGTTTGTAAACGGACTCACGACACAGGAGAAAAAAAAATCTAAATAATAAAGATGTCTTCAACCTGAATTGACCTGAAATTTAGTATAAAAAAAGGCGAACATAATGTCTCTTAGAACTGATTGAAGCACCAAAATATCAGTGAGTTATTTATGTGTGCGTAATGGGTCGCCACGTTACCAGTCTAAAGATAATGACAGATGTCCTTCGTATCAATGTGTGTATGTTCTGCGTGTAAATCTATAGTAGCCAGTGCCTTTAGTCAAACGCCACTTTAGCGCTTGTCTACAGAGAGAGTAGAAAACTAAATGTATGGGGATGACACTCTGCCCTGATATCAAAGAATGCAGTAATAGATTTGTGAGATTTTCACTTTTTTCCAGAAATGGTATCCCAAGAGGTTCATGTACATACCTACATGAAAAAAAATATATTCATAAAAAAATTCACTCGAAGTATGTTTTTATGTAATAATTTTCGCCGTAAGAACTGCTTCAATGATAAGAAAAAACGCAGTATTAAATTTTGCGATTAACTACTGCTTAGTTATGACGGCAGCACTAAAATGTGTCAAAATTTACGTTAATTCCGTATAATTTGGTTTTCTATTCTACATGTAGACAAGCGCTAAACGGCATTTGGCTACAACTGCTGGTGCCACAGTCGCTGTTTCAAGACACTGCTGTCCACCTTTTTTTATTTATTTATTTATTTTATTTATTTATTATTACATTTCAGTACAGTTTAAAATTTCTTATTTGCACCATTAAACCACAGCTGGTTTGTATTGGTACTCACATTCGCTTTAACAAGTTTTATGTTATAAATTTATAAACCCATTCAATATGACAATTACGTTAATATATGTGACAAAGATATAACATTTTAGATACGTTAGATATTTTACAAGTAACAGTAAACATCCATGAGCAAAGCATAAACGCACTCATTAAAATTGCAAAGAAACAAAGTACTCAAAGAAACCGATACCGACACACACGGCACTAGCTAATGTTAAACTTTTGCAGTCTACCCCACAATATGCTACATTCGCATTATGAGTTCTCAGTGTGTAACCGGTTCTCGTCAACTTAAAAAATTGTAATATACAGGCTGTTTCCTACATTTTGGTTGTGAATAATTTTAGACCATGTTATTTATGATATTGTGGTAATATTTTTTATATTTCTGTTTATAGTTTTTGGAGTTAATTTCGTATTTGATATTTTGTGGAATTTCATTAATTATTGTGGGGATTATAAATTTAGAAGTTCGTCTGCCATAATAATTTTTAACTTGAGGTATTATTAATTTATTTTTGGTAATATTCCTAGTGATTATTTTATGCGAAATGGGTACTTGAATACTTTTATTATTAAATTGTTCACTCAAGAAGGCTAGATGAAATCGAAACTGTACAGGTAATATTTTGCAATATTTAAATAATTCTGTGACGTTATTTCTGCATTTGTCTTTTATTTTACTCGGGACCATAAGTTTTAGAAATCGAACCTGTAATTTAGTTATCTTTTCAATAAGTGTTTTAAAGGTACGCCCGTAACTTGTGATTCCGTATGCAATAATTGATTCCGCCAAGGCCATGTACATGCTAAGTAGTGTTTTAAACGGAACTTTCGGTTTCAATATGTAGAACTTAGCCAATATTGCCCGTAACCTATCACACACTAAGTCGACATGAAAAGACCAGTTGAAACGGTTGTCTACGATTAGTCCCAGGTACGTGTGGTGCGTTACCTGGTCAATTTCCTCGCAACGACACGCGCCTCGCCGCGTAGAGTGAAGACAACCGTGACTATGTGATACAATACTGAAAGGCATCATGAGCTTCAAGTGGCTTGAATGGACATGTATTATTTTAGTTTTACTGGAGTTAATAACCAGTCCAGCATCATGTGCCCATTTAGAGACTCTAGTAAAATCTTCCTGTAACCAGTGCGCTGCTATATTAACATCTCTGTGGGCTGCTGCAAGGCATGTGTCATCTGCATATTGATAAATTGAGCAGTGATTTACCACATGCTCCATGTCGTTAACATAAGTCAGGTAGTGCAAAGGCCCAATTACTGAGCCTTGAGCAGTCCCGTCAGTGACATCAACAGCATCACTCATCTCAGTACTGATCTTAACAGTGTATTTCCGATTGTTCAGGTAGTCTTTACACCACCCAAAATCGTCCTTAATCTAATCGTTTAGTTTGCATGACCATAAATAATAAGCAAAAACTTTTTTACAAAAGGTTTTTATTTATATTTTCAATATTCCAGCCAGCCGTGCCACCGCCATTTTACTCCTATGTAAGTACATCTAATGTAGTGAAGCCGGTTTTCAGCCAAGGTTTTTTGATTTCGTCATCATCAACCACAACTGCTGGACAACGGGCTTCGTATTCAAAAAAAAAAAAATAATTATTTTGGAGTGTATTTTTTTCTAATTAAATAACATTTTTTCGTATAATTGCAGAAAAATACAAAATTTAAACCGATGGTAAGCATAAAAAGATACCTATACTCGTAAAAGTACAAAGGTGACGACAGTTACACTTGTAAGTACAATCAACAGATAATTATGACCCAATTATTGCACGCAGTGACCTAATAAACTGTGCAATTTTAACTATACATCGATTTGTACAGTCAAACTATACATAAATTGTATATTCATACAACCTACACACCTGTAGTTAAAATTGTATATTTCAACTGTTTGTTCTAACACTTCTTACAATGTAACTGTACAGTTCGACTGTATAGTTATAACTGTACAGTTCGACTGTATAGTTATAACTATACAGTTCGACTGCTCAGTAAATCATTTAGTGAACCAAGCAGAAAATTCTAAACTCTGGGACATGGTTGTAATTTATATTGATGATTATAATTTATTTATTATACAGGGTCGAGGGGATCCTAAAGACCAGAATATTGTTCAACAAATGGTAAGTTATGAACAATAATGAAATAAGTAGATAAAGTAAAATAATTTCAGGCCTGGTGGTCGTAGAAGTGACTGTAGAGCGCCCTTGCTCCACAGTCACTTCTTGGATTGATTCCCGGGTTAGAAAAGTGTAGTCATTATCATTGTCTACAAAACAGGGGCGTGACATAAATAAGTTTAAAGGCCGACTTTCCATAATTTTTATTCGTAGAATAAATTCAACACCTAGGATTAATTTTAAATCTTTAAGAGTTTTTGTTTGGACTATTAAAAATTGACAGTTAATTTTACGATAAAGGTGTGGGGTTGGAAAAATTAGCATTTTGGTTATGTAAGGGGTTGAATTCAAAACTTAAAATATTGTACTAACCATTTAAAATTATATTTTCCTAGAACGACCAAGATGGAAATGCCATATTTCCGCGTCCTGATGGACAACCATTAAGTGGCTCAGACTCCATAGATTTGAACCTATTAGTAAGAAATTTTAAAATATTTGAATCTGGAAGCTATTCCATTTTTTATGGGATAACTTGGTAAACGAGCATACGGATTATCTGATGGTAAGCAATCGGCGCCCGTGGACACCCAGAACACCAAAGGTGTTACCGGCCTTATGGGTATTGGAAATTTGAGGATTGTTGGGGATTTAGGGATTAGGGAAATTTGGAGGAGGGTTGGGCCTCCAGTAACCTTACTTACACGACAAAACACAACACAAATGTTGTTTTACGTCGGTTTTCTGTGAGGCCGTGGTATCACTCCGGTCGAGCCGGCCCATTCGTGCCGAAGCATGGCTCCCCCACACTTAAAATTTCTCATCCTTACATCTTCTGGTTAGGTAGTCCCGTGGGGACACCCGCTTCTTGGCTTCTTTTAATTTTAGCAAGATGTTTTATATTTTCAATCTTTTCTCAACTTCAACACAAAAAGATTTATTCAATTGGAACCAGAAAGATATTTTTATGTACAAAGATATTGTAGGGAGTTATTTTTAAGGTGTTTTATATTTTTTTTAGTTTTTAGTTATTTATATTATAACTTGGAACCAGTAGTCCCGGTGATATTCGGGGTCCAATAACCAAAGAAACGACAAACTATTCAGCTTAATACTATTAAACTTTCTCTCTAGTCTTTCGTTCATGTCTGAGGATCGTGGTCAGCAACTGGATTACATGTGGAGCGGATGATCTACTTCCAGCGATCTCTGTCTCTTTCAGCCGTGCAAAATTTTTAGGACGAGTCTTTTACTTAATCGGTCCATCTCGTTGGAGAACGCCCACGCGATCTCTTGCCTTCGGTGTTTCCCAACTACAATCAGCTTCTCCACGTTCTCGCCGTTATTGTATTAAATGTGTATTAACTAGTGTAAGTGTAATTTAACGATGATTCATGATTCTCAGAAATATATTGGATTTTAACGATATATGGATGTGTGTTTTTATAGGAGAAGCGATTAACGGATACAAATAAGGTATATTATATAGTTTATTTTTTTAATTCTATTTGTTTTTTATGTAGAGACATTTATTCTGCATCAGTCACAATGCGTACTGCATTCTGACTGATGCAGAATACTAATAATATATTAAGAATACTTCCCCTTTAGGTGGCATTACAAAATTCCACCCTGTATATGTATATATATAGATATATAATATATATATAATATATATATAGATGGATATCTACATTATACAGAAAAAAAGTAACCTTGTGTTTTATTACAGTGGGATGAGTTCAAGAATTTGGTAGCTAAACAACGGGTGAGTGTAATGGTGTAGACCTACCTAATAGGCCACTTCTAAATCATATCTTAACTAAAGGTTAGTTACCATGTGCAGCACCTAATACCTTCCTCGTATTGTTAGGTGACAGTGACACTGCCTATAAATGTCATGTCAGTGTTGGTGAAATTTAACATGACGTTAATTATTGTCACATACATGTCTTAGCTTATAATTTTGCCGTCACCACTCGACACTGGCAGTATAGTCGACAACACCATTGTGGAGACTCGGTTGCCAAAGAAGAAAAAAAAAATGTCTTAGCTTAGGGGTACCTTAAAATTTAGAAGAGCTTTGTGAAAATGGGTATAACTCTTTTATTAAAGATCAACGAGTACTTGGTATTCACCCATTGTCCCCATTAATTTATCCAACTAAAATTATAAATATGAAACTTTCTAATATGTTTATTTGTTTGTTACATAGATACATAACACGCCAGTCTCCCATGGGGGTAGGCAGAGACTATGAAACGCCAATTGCTGCGATTCCTTCATACATGTTTCGCTTCATCAACAGTCATCAAACTTTTCATGCATGCTCGTCGGTTAAGGGTATACTATTAATTAGGCCCTTTGTTACGGCCTTCAAATTAAAACAGCTGGAAGGATTGGGATGTAATTTGGTACAGTGATAGACTATGGTCTGGGATAAGACATAGAGTACTATTCATCACACGGGAACGCGAGCGATGTTGGTGGTAGAAGCAAGAGCCTGATATTGTTTTTGGTCTCTTAAAAAAACTAAAACATGTTTTGTCTACCAAAAAACGTTTTAGTTTTTAGCTTTTTTTTTTATTTTTTTTTTATTTTTTATATATATATTTTTTAGCTAACTCTAGTTATCAATCATGGCAATAGTTTAAAACATTGCCGAGTATTACTATTTAATGTCTAGTATATGTTCCAATACTTTTGTTACAGCAAAAGCAAAAACCAGGTGAAACTATGGAAAACGTACGTAGTTATTACTAATTATATTGAAAATCAACAGAAATAGGTAGTTTGTCATGTATAATGTCTAACACAAGATCTCCACTTCAATTCCTGGATTGTTCCAGAAGTATCACCTGTTTTATATCTAAAAGTATTACTAATGCTCGCTACACACCATAAGTTTCAACTGTACATTTTAAATTTACAGTCGAACTGTACAGTAAAATTGAGTACAGAACTGTAAGATCTGTAAAGCAAACAACTGACTTGTATAGTTTTAACTGAAGGTGTAGGCTGTATAGACCTACGATTTAATTGTACAGTTCGACTGTACAGTTGAAAGGCCACGCCATAACGGTGTTTCTCTGAGCCTACAAGAGTATGAAAAATTAGTCCAGTGTTTTTTTATGAAATAAGACTGTAAATGACCATATAGTATCATCAAATGGTAGAACTAGGAATACCAGAGGAGTTAATAGTGCTTTGTCGGTCTATTGTTTTTTTTTTAAGACGTTGCCCCATACTTGGATTTTCTCCTGTGTCGTGGGTGCGTTTACAAACATACAAGTTCACATACACATGACACCCAGACCCGAAACAACAATCTGTGGATCACACAAAGAGTTGTTCAGTGTTGTCACACAAAGAGTTGTTGTGGTTGCCCAGCCACCGCGCCAACCGTGCAGTCGAAGTTATTTTAAGATATGTAATTTTATTTTGTTTTTCTATTTGTTGTATAGTGGGAAGAGGACGCTCATATGTGGGCTGTAAGTATTAATTATACGTATATGTCGGATGGAAACTTATGCGACAGACAGTTCATACAAAGTTACATTCCTAATTTAAACTCGAGTATACTTTGTGAAACCGGTTTTAATACCGCCGTTCACACATTCGTGAAGTGAATAATTTTAAAATGATTAATATTGTATGTAAGTAATTTTATAATCTGCGCTTTACTCCAGTTCAGTTTTTTCGTTGTTGGGTCGACACGTCCTGTTGATCAGGGGCTTTTTTTTTTTTTTTTAAGGGGGGAAAATCATCGAATGACTGACCCCGCCTGGGTGAGGCGGAAGGGAGTGTCAGACTCTTACTGACTAAAAACCACCCCGTTCCTTCTCCTGCACGTCGAGCCGGAGCCCCGGTTACCCGTTAGGTTCTCCGATCAGGGGCTAGGTATCAACTGAATGCAGGCGAATGTGTTAACACTGAGTTCGTATTCGCCATTCATATCGACAACAACATAGTGAGATAATAATATCAATAGATTAATCATGTACACATCAAACTACTCCAATCTGTGATATTTATTCATTGATTTTTCGACTTTATGTCAATACAATAAAGTTGAAGATACAATAGAGAAATTCGACAGAAAAGGATATTTTTTCCTGCTGGACAATGTGCCATAGTAAGGGATGTAAGTGTTTTTTTATATTTTCAGTCGTATTCCAGACAATTAGTGGAAAGAGACAAAACTGCGGTAAATATAATATATTAAAGATTATTTATAAATGAACATTATGCCAATGTTTTTTTCTCTCGCTTTTTTTATGGCATAAGCCGGTAAACGAGCTGACGGATCACCTGATGGTAAGCAATCGGCGCCGCCCACGGATACCTGAAACACCAGAGGCGTTACAAGTGAATACGTTTTGAGAATTGGGAATTTGAAGATTATGGGAGATTAGGAGATTGGGGAGATTGGGGAGACCGAGGAAACATGGGCTCCGGTAACCTCACTCACATGACGAAATACAACGCAAGCGTTGTTTCACGTCGGTTTTCTATGAGGCCGTGGTATCACTCCGGTCGAGCCGGCCCGTTCGTACCGAAGCAAGGCTCTCCCACACTTTGCAAATATATAATATGTTTAAATTGATTGACTAGCTGACCCGGCAAACTACTTACGTAGCGCCTAAAAAATTTTTCTCACGAACATTTCAAGACCAAAATTAGTCAAATTGGTTCAGCCGTTCTCGAGATTTAGCGAGACTAACGAATGGAAATTCTTTGATAGATATTGACGATAAAGATGCACTGTAGAATAAACCTCCTAGGACAAAATTAAATAATTCTCTATCTTCCGTCATGTATTTCAGAAAAGACGAGCTCAAGAAGTAAGTACAGTGTGAAACGTTTTCATTTTTTTTTACGAATTTTCGGTTCGATATATCAAGGTATTAACTGCCTGGATGACTGAGCTTTGGTCGGTGTTTTTTAGTAAACATTTCCTGAAATGAAATCTAGACAGTTTGATTTATAGCCCTCGAAACTCCCTAAATACTAAAATTCAAGAAAATCGTTGGTGCCGTTTCCGAGATCGTTGATATTATACATATATGCAACAATTTCTCGTTTAAAGGTATAAGATAATATTTATTCGTATCGTAATAGGTATTTTTATCGTGATAGAATTACGATCGAAATTCTTGTGAAATCATTTTGACCTTAAAGTCGAAGAAAAACAAACATTCTCATTTATAATATTAGAATGAATTTCCAGGAGGAACGTAAAGACGCGGTAAGTATTATCAAAAAATGTGGTAGTTTACTCTTAACGTAGGTGCAACATTGTTACGTAGGTGTTCCACAGGGGTTTTACTTGGGTCCATTCTTTTTTACACATAAACGATTTGCTTTCTAAGTTTAACTATCATTTCCTCTTAAAAACCAAAACTTTTTAAGTATAAGTAGAAACAAAAAGTGTTGCATCACATAACAATGCTGCATAAAAATTTCCAATTGCAGCCTGCAGCGTGACGTTTTGTTTATTTTATCTAGACTTAGTACAAATAAACACAAGAGTGTACGGTAACACAGAGTTTTTAGTTGTTTTACATAGTACATACATTTAATAGTTCCGTGCATGCATTCTCTAATATTAGTTTGTAATTCCAGGAACGTAAAGCTGCAGTAAGTTTTGAAACAGATTATAATAGTTAATTTGAAACCACATCATTTATAGTTGTAAACTATTGTACAATTTGACTAAACTATTGTAAAAGTTTTAATCATCATCAATGCGATTGTCTACTGCTAGACTAAGACTATGCCCATCCTCTAAATAATAGTGACTTCTCATATTAATATTACCCTTGTTGGACGGATTTGAGACCACAGGTTCAGTTCCATGAACCAGCATTACTGCCCGATCTCTGTTGAATGTGTTATCCTTTTTACGTCACCCTGTATGAAAAGGTGCGATGCCAAATATATTCTACTTTAATCACCACTTGATCTTAAAACAGGTGTACATACTATAATTGTCATCATCATCATAACATCACACCTTTTACCCCTGAAAGGGTAGGCAGAGGTGCACTTTACGGCACTTAATGCCACTGTACAATGTAACACCCACTTTTCACTATTTATGTTATAGGTCCCATGTAATAGGGAGTGATCCTATTGCCATATACCGCGACATTGCGACCACTCGGCCAGCGTGGCAGTCGTAGTGTGTTTGTACTACGACATACACTAGCAATGGCATCAGAGGGGGGACAGCGCTGCGCGGGGAGCAACCATTTTTCTTGCTCATTGCCTTTAGTTGCCCCCCGCGCAGCGCTATCCTCCTCCTTCAGTTAGTCATTGGTCGGTTCAATAGCCCATATTCAACGAATAGTTACTGTCTCTGTACTGAATAGATCTTTACCTGCATAGTAAATGGCTGCGTTGACTATGGGTACACCAGTTTTGAAAACGAATGTACGATATTTTAAGTATTGCAAATTGTAGTACAAGTTCCATGATATATATTTTTTTTGTTTACAGAGACAAAATGAACACAAATATTTGAATCCTAGCGCTGGTGTAAGTATTTTGCAAATATTTGAAACACTTTCCTTTGATTGCCTAGAACAACACTAGAGTAGCTGCCAATGCTGACCTACCGTGCCATTAGCCAAACGCCACTTTAGCGCTTGTCTATAGAGAGAGTAGAAAACTAAATGTATGGGGGGATGACACTGACAAGTGTTAAAATTTACGTCAATTCCATATAATTTGGTTTTCTATTCTACAGGTAGACAAGCGCTAACTGGCATTTGGTTACAGCTGAAGGCTCGATTAGATGGCAGGAAATATACAAGATTATTGGTTGTAACAGTTTGAAACATCACCCACCAAACAGAAAAAAGAATTTGTATTTTTAAAATCGGGTTTATATGATTTAGGGATAAAAAAAATTAAATGAAATCTTGAGGTAAAGTATAATACAATGTAATATTTATATTTTATAATACATTTTTGTTTGTCATTTTCAGATGGAACAATATTGGACATCAAACGAAAATGATAAGGTACGTTTCAGTTCAGAAAATACGTACAAAGCATTTTAATAAAACATTTGAAGACACTGCCACCAATTCATTAAAGAAACAAAAAATTAATTCAATACTTTTATCGAAATCTAATATTTTGTATGAGATATAGACTTATGACGTGTTGCGGAGAACTTAACGGGTAACCGGGGCTCCGACACGACGTGCAGGAGAAGGAACGGGGTGGTTTTTAGTCAGTAAGAGTCTGACACTCCCTCCCGCCTCACCCAGGCGGGAGCAGTCATTCGATGATTGTCCTACCTTAAAAAAAAAGACTTATGACGTCATCATACTTTTGCGTCAAATAGCATACTTATTTTTGAAAAATTGGTTGTGTTGCTAGATCGCTTTTTGTAACATCCCAATTTTGTTATAGAAATAAGGATAGAATGAGAGTTAACGTAATATTTTGTCACTGTGAAAATATTTCATTTTTTTTATTATGCAGAAACCATCGGATCCAGGAAAGGATATGGATGCAGTAGGCAAAGAGATGTTGGAAACACTCTCTCGATTGCCTCACTCACAATCTGACTCTGAAGGTCAAGGAATAACCGGTTTAGATACATATCTTTCGGGTACTGATAAAGGTAGAGGCCCAGAAGCATTCCCTAGGGGCGCAGGAGGACATTCTGATTACCCTGGTAATGGTAGGGGCCCAGGAGCGTACTCTAGTGGCCCGGGAGAATATCTTAGGGGGCAAGATACATACCCTGGGGGTGCAGGAGGATTTCCTGGGAGCCCAGGAGATTTTCCTGGGAATTCAGGGTTTCCTGGGAGTGCAGGAGGATATCCTGGGGGCGCCGGAGGATATCCTGGGGGCGCCGGACGATATCCTGGGGCTGCATTAGGGTATTCTGGGGGCTCAGGAGGATATCCTGGGGGTGCGGGAGGATATCTTGGAGGCGCAGGAGGGTATCCTGGGGGACCAGGAGGATATCCTGGGGTCGCAGGAGGGTATCCTGGGGGACCAGGAGGATATCCTGGGGGCACAGGAGGATATCCTGAAGGCGCAGGACAATTTCCTGGGGGCTCTGAAATATTTTCTGGTGATACAAGAGGATTTCCTGGGGGCCCGGGAGGATTTCCTCAGGGTCCGGGAAGATTTCCTGGTGGCGCAGCAGGTTTTCCTGGGGGCGCAGGAGGATATCCTGGGGGCGCAGCAGGAGCAGCAATTCCAGGGGCCCCAGAAGGAATTCCTGGAGGCGCTGGAGGATTTCCTAGGAATCCGGGAGGATTTCCTGGGGGCCCAGGGGGATTTCCCGAAGGTCCGGGCACATATCCTAGAGGCTCAGGATCGAATCCCAGAAGCCCAGAAGCGTTTTCTGGTGGTCTTGGTAAACCTGGGAACAATTTTAAATTCCCTACAGAACTATCTTTATCAAAAAATGCCCAACTTTGGAACGCTATGAAACAAGGCATTCATTTACCTATGCCTCCACCAAAGTTATGGACTCGACGACAATATGATGGAATGCCTCCTATATATTATAAAGATCGACCAAACGAATCACAAGGAGCAATATCGACGGGTCGGGACGATCGTTATCTAACACCTGAACAGAGGTCTCAAGAATCTCCTGATTACGATATGGGGCCAGATACTTCGCAATTTTCTCAAAGTTTCGAAAAACCAAGAATTGCATTTGACGAAAACGTTAACGAGGCTAACGTTCCTATTGGTGATGGCAAAATACCAGGTGTAGGATCTGAGGCTGACTTTCCGAATGGTTATCGACCAAACTATGGTGATAAATCGCAAATTTCTCCTGGGTTTTATCAGATGCCCCAGTCTTACAGTAGCGGATATCCAGAGGCTCAAAAAAATCCATTTATAAAAACTCAACCCAAGACAACAAGTAATAAATCCCCGCCACAGATCCCACTCAAGAACATAGTAGCTGAAAGCTACCCAGATGATTTCAAGCACGCTCTCCGGATGGGTGGACCACGTTCCCAACCTGGGCTTGATTCTGAATCAAATTTCCCCGAGGCGTCTAGTCTAGATAATTTTAAACACGCGCTCCGGATGGGTGGACCACGGTTCCAACCTGGCCCAGGTTCTGAATTAAATGTTCCTGAGGGGTCTGGTCCAGATAATTCTAAGCACGCTCTTCGGATGGGTGGACCACGTTTTCAACCTGGGCCAGGTTCTGAATCAGATTTCTCAGAGGGGTTTCATCCTAAAATAGCTGGTGGAAACATGGAAAGGGGAGTTCCGTCAAGTAATGGACTTCATAGACCGCCGAGATTAAATAATCAGTTCCAATTCCAAGGTATGGAGCAAAGAGGACCACCTCCTGGATGGCATAGTGAGGGCAAAGCGGGCTGGAAACCTGATAAATCTTGGGGATCATCACGTTTTAGTCCACCAGGAGAGCCAGACTACCAGCCACTACCGGAATCGGAACGATTACAACCAAATCAACCTCGTGAATTTCCTGTAAAGGGAAAGGATGGGCCGGCAGCACTTCGTGATGGTGCAGATGACGTTGCTATTACTTTTCAAGGCCAAAACTCACCTGGTGTTGATGTAGAACTAGGTCAGGCCGGATTTAAACCGCGTCAACCAAATCTAGTAAGTAATTCATTTATAATATTACAATAGGGTAGATGCCTAATTTTTATTTTAATGTCCGTCTGGTAGATTATTTTAAAACATTAGACACGTATTTTTTATTTTCTTACAGAAACAAATACTTTCAACGATATATTGATTTGAAATGTCGCGTGACGTCACTTCTATGTTCATTTTAAACGTAGAAATGACGTTTTAGCCCCCATTCTTAAACTTTGATTCATTTTATCTAAGTATTATTTTATTATACCACAAAATAAAAATAATTTTTCATTACCTAACTTGCGGACTAATTAGAATTTTCTTTTTCATACACTGTCATCATCCCTATTACGTTTGTACTAACTCTGTAAGAATTTATTGAATAATTTGATTTGTATAATTTCATCTTAAATTGAGTGCCAGTGAAGTTGACAGTAAATAAAAAATTAATATATTTCAGCCAACCGGGTATAATTTGTTGCAAATTGCGTTAAATAAAACTGTGGTAAGTAGATACTAATCAATACAGTATATTCTAATTATGCACCCACATAACATACTGTTGAAAATAGTCAGAACGATAATTTATAGATTCCACATCTTGTTACGATCATCAAGATCAGAATTATTATCTTCTGAGAGTATGAAAGAAGGAACCATTTATTACGCCACGACAAACAATAAGAATACAGGTACACACAGAAAGCCATCGCAAGAAGTGCATCGTAGCGCAAAAGGCTAGAGCTCAGCTTAATACTATGGCCCGAGTCTCGGCCCAGTCCGGTCCAGGCTCAAGGCCACGGCACTGATTTTCAGTACCAGCCCGTAGTAGGTATTACGTACTAATTATACACCTGGGTCGTTCCGTAGTTTCGTGCAAAACGCATATCCAGACCTATAAACTACAGAATACTACTTCTTTTTGTGTTATTTTTTTTCAGAATATGTTCAAACATAATTACTCTTCAAGGAGTATCGCTAATATTGTAAATTAAGTCGATAGTTTTTTTAAAATATCAATAAATCTGCGTAAAAATTCATTCCTCTCTGTTTCCAGAGAGAGTCATCGGCAGATGTTTAATTATTTACTTGTCGACAATCAAACTTATAGCTACACTGAGTATGTCATATTGAAGCCTCACTCTTGGCCTACTAATTTAGCATTTTAATTATAAATTAAACATAGTAATAAAATTGGAAACCCATCTTTTCCAATTGTCACAAAAAAATCTTCATTGCCATCCGTTCCTAAAAACAAGTCAATTTTGTCGATATTGTATATAATTCTAATATAGTTCGGGATGAAACGTGTTCCTATGGATCCCTTAGCCCTGGTGACAGAGCAAGGTGGACGTACACCCAACGTTGTTAAAAATATTTACGATCTCCGTATTGTTACTAGTGTTTCGTCCAGAAACCATTTCATTTCATTCCTTGGATTTATAAGGT